TGCATAGGTGAAATTTTAATGGAAATACTATGAACTGCGAGCTAATAAGAATAGGAAAAATTATCTGTAGAACAGTTTCAAAGAGTCACACTCATGTGACGCCTGTCAAGTAATACATCCTCCTTTGCACATTGTAAACTATTCCAATGGGTCTACAATTATATAGTCAGTAATTTCAGTATTTCTAATAGTAAATAGAATCATACAAACTACGTATTACAAAAAGCTTGCCCACCCAAGATATCGGGAAATTCTAGGGTCCAAGGCAAGTTTAGCCTGAACAGAGGTGTCCGCCCTGAATGGAGGTTGGGCTGGGGTTTGTTAATAAGTAACCAACAAATAAAACTGCATTTTTTATTCTGCCTCGGAATCTGCTGCAGTCATTATTTCAAGCATCTAGATAATGTACAAAAAAAAATCCTGATTAACTTATTTTGTGATGTGGTGTGTTGAGGTCGCGCAAGTGTAATACATCGTTTTCAAGTGAGATAGTTCATGTTTTGAAAGCTATCGCCATTGTGACTAATGAACACTTAAACCTATCAACGGATTTTCCCGTTAGTCAGCTTTTGGGTGCTGATTAAGATGTCCCTTGAATGGAGGTTAAAGCCGGGTATCAGGACCCAGGGAAAGTGTTCCTTTGTCCTGAATAGGGATGTCCTTGAACAGAGGTAACAAGTAAAAAGGTAATGTATGTGAACATTTTCCTGGGACTCCACTGAATTTCCCCTTCATAAGGAGAAGTCCCGAGAGGGTCCATTGTAATTGACATTCGCCTCAACTCTAATAAAAGCTATTAAATAATAATTATAAATTACAATCTATTTATTATTACGCTTACTTGAACAGATCACTGATGCATCCTCATTGTGTACACAGTTATGCTCACCCCATGGACGGTGTCGACAACTCACAATGGAACTCTCATTTCCCTGACACTGAATATCGTCCAGCCAAATCTTTCCACTTCCTTCACCAAACCGTGCACTGTGTGGAGCACTGACAGCAAACGAATACCCAAGTTGACGACAGACAACTCGAGCATCATTTTTATCCCAATTATCGTCACAAACCGTTCCCCAGGTATCGTTGTAATAGATCTCCACTCTGCCCTCTCCAGGCCCACTTCCTCCAGTCAGTCTCAAAGTTGCTATTGTATAAGTTAGAGGTAAATTCTTATTTGGGTTTTGAAAAACAAACAAACAACTCTATTCCTCCATCTGTTATCCTGTCATGCACACAGAATATTTTAAAATTGAAAACTTCGTCTTTTTTTTCTAATCTGCACAGAACGTCTGCGGTGCTGTTCGACTGAAGTGTGCAAAGAAATAGGGGAATACTGCGAAATGTAACAGAACAAGGCTAGGGATTTTCATTTTGAAAGAGCAACCACCAAGAGACCGATACAAGACCGTCATCTTTCAGCTACCTCTTCGATGGCCGTATTATTGAGAAACAGAACTGAACTTGAATTTTCCCGCAAAACTTCATTTAAAAACAAAACTGTCCGTGAAAACGCCTTCACATACCGGCCAAGAGAGTTTAATGGGGCCGGCAGAGAGTGAATCTTAAGGTGTTGGCGTGGGTATGTGAATTTCACTGAATTTACTTTTAGTGGTTGTAATTAAACAGAAGTCTTATTCCTGAGGCGTCCGCAAATTTTAATCAAGTCCAGAAATCAAGCCCTCAATACAAAAAAAGCAGAATATTTGCAATGGAGGCTGTTAAATTCTCTCTTGACAGGGCTGAATTAAAGGAACAGTATACCGTTACTGCGCATGCACCAAACGTTGATTTTTGGACAGGATGTCGCAAAATCAAAAGATGCGAGGAGAGTAAGAGAACCTTGAAAAATCCGTTTGCGTCACGCTTGGCCGACTTCAATGCTACACTTAAACTTCTCAGGATTACAAATCAATAATATATTGTTCCCGTTAAATTTCGATTTGGGAGAAATCGGGATTTTTTGGCGTTACTTTTATTGCCGTTGGCCGGGGAACCAAAAGACGAGAAGCGCTTTGATGCCAATTGAAGGCTTATTTCTTCTGCTAGCTTCCATACAGGCTCTGATAATTGTGAAAGGACTACGTAGAAATGAAACAGCAAAAATAAAGACTGTAAGAAAGAAACCATTGGGACATTGATGTGGCTAAGGAGATCTTGTGCAATTAAGCATCGTAAAGCAAGATGTTTGGTAACGACGCGTCAGTAAACTTTTAAATGAACTTCCCAAAGGCCGACAAAATCAAACAAAGAGGAGCTACATGTTTACAAAACCTAGCGCTGTGAAATCATGACGCGATGAGTCTTCGTGCCGCGAGCCAAATTTTCAATGAGACGAAAGATTTCTTCGAAAGTCTAAAACATTACTTGAGAATGTAAACAACAAATCACCGTTGGCGATGCGGCCCGGAAAGAAATCTTGTCGAGTCAATATTTTCTATTGTCTTTTGAAGAAAAAAATAGATGAGGCTCGCGCGTACGCATATTCGGGACACTGTTTCTTTAAGTGTGAACAACAGTGGCGAATCAAAGGTGAGTGTGTGGGGGTGATTCGAAAGTCCCTTATGTATTACACCAGGAGCCCATCAAATGGAGCCTCCATCTCCATTAATTTCGTGAGTCAACCCTTTCCCAAGTAGATTTATAAATAGAACGGCTTGCTTCCCGCGAAAAGTGTCATATTTCCGTGAGTCTCGTATGTCACCGTAAAAAAAAATGAAGTTGGATGAAGTCGAACTCAGAAGCCCGTCCTTCGACCGTTTTCTTTTTTTACTATACGTCCATTTTTACAATTTTACAGCCGCTGGGATCTGGGTATCATGAAATAAAAGTTAATAAATTACCCGACTGAGACTGAGCATGAAGCGATGGGACAAAGGCAGCGAACTGAGGATCACGGAAAGGTTATCTTTGCGAGTGTGAGTGTGTGTGTGTGTTTTTTTTTTTTTGCCGTCATGAATCCCACATTCAAGCATGCACCTTGAAAAAAGACGACGATTAAGCGTTCTGTGGACAATTTGGAACTTTTCGATGATCAGCGCCGAAAAAGTGCCAGGATCATTTGATTTTTTTCATCACCGTGGAGTGGATTTCGCCAGTAAAGCACTGAGTGCAAAAGCGATGACTTAAGTAGCAACTAACGAGGAATGCTTCAGTTCCGAAATTTGAGAGATTGCAGTCTTCCTTTGCAACTGACTTGTATCACTATGAGAGTTGCCTGGTAAAACTCGCACTTGAAAAGTTGAACAGAAGACAATACTTGCTCGACCGTGAAGCTAACTTAAAAGTAATTTGCTAACGGAGGAATTTGTGACATCGCGCTCCAGTCCAAAGACCCACTTATCTCAAGAAAAACAAAATGGATTGTATCTGCGCCAAAAGAATTGTGACTAACTAACAGGAGAATTCTCAGCAGTTAATGTAGAGGTTTAGGCTCAATTCTCTCCTTCGAATTCGCATCTGTAGATCACTTTTTTGCGAGAAAACAATGGCTGGGCGCGGCGTTACAAAACATAGCAGGGAATCATCACACTAGCTGACGGACAAAACAACCACAAGGACTACAAGTATTTATTCAGATAAACGCATTTCGGAAAAAAAAACCTTGAAAAACTAGAAATTTGATTAATATTGAATCATTTAGCCGAAATAAGAACCTTAACGCTCAAAAAAACTAATCCTGTCAGAACTACAGACTGCAGGTAGTAGTTAATCATTATGCATGTAACAGATCAGCTTCATGGCCTCTTAATGTGAGACAAGCAACCAAAATTAAGATTAACATAGTCAGAGTTTAAAACTCTCCACAGTATAATCTACCCGCTAGAAAGAAAAGAAAGAAAATCTCTGAGGGATGAAAACGCTAAAGTCACGTTTCACTAGCTTATGATTGTGTTTGGCCTGTCAACACCGAATTTCCTGCTGTTTGATGAAGTACAATAGCAGTGTCATTTCGTCGTTGTGATTGGCGCTTCCCAACGTCCGCGCGCGAAGTCTCCCCTGGGAACCTTTCTAATTATAAATCTACTCGGGAGAGGGTTGACTCCAAGGGCTTGTATTTGAGATGGAGGCTCCATTTGATGGGCTCCTGATTACACCAATCATGCTGTAACATATCATACAGTAGTTAATTAAGCGATTTGTGATTAGTGGTTTGTGCAAATAGCTGCGTAGGTGAAATTTTAATGGAAATACTATGAACTGCAAGCTAATAAGAGAAGAAAAAAATTATCTGTGGAACAGTTTCAAATAGTCACACTCATGTCACGCCTGTCAAGTAATAGATCCCGCTTTGCACAATGTAAACCATTCCAGTGGGTCTACAATTATATAGTCAGTAATTTCATTATTTCTAAGCTATGAAAAAAAAATAATAAATAGAATCACAAAAACTACATATTACAACAGCTTCACACCCAAAACATCGGGAAATTCTCGGGTCCAAGGTAAGTTTAGCCTGAACAGAGGTGTCCAACCTGAATGGAGGCTGGGATGTGAATGTTAATAATAAACAAACAAATAAATCTGCATTTTTTATTCTGCCTCGGAATCTGCTGCAGTCATTATTTCAAGCATCTACATAATGTACAAAAAAATCCTGATTAACTTATTTTTGTGATGTGGTGTGTTGAAGTCTCACAAGTGTAATTACATCGTTTTCAAGTCAGATAGTTCATGTTTTGAAAGCTGTCGCCATTGTGACTAGTGAACACTTGAACTTATCAACGAATTTTGCCGTTAATCAGCTTTTTGGTGCTGATTAAAATGTCCCTTGAATGGAGGTTAAAGCCAGGTTTCGGGACCCAGAAAAAGTGTTCCTTTCACTTAATAGAGACATCCCTTCAATAGAGGAAACAAATAAAAAGGTTATGTATGTGAACATTTTTCTGGGACTCCCCTGAATTTTCCCTTAAATACGGAGGTGTCTCGAGAAGGTCCATTGGTAATTGACATTCGGCTCAACTCTAATAAAAGCTATAATAATTATAAATTACAATCTATTTATTATTACGCTTACTTGAACAGATCACTGATGCATCCTCACGGTGTTCACAGTTATGCACACCCCATGGACTGTGTCGACAATTCACAATGGAACTTTCATTTCCTTGACACTGAACATTGTCCAGCCAAATCTTTCCACTTCCTTGACCAAACCGTGCACTGTGTGGAGCACTGACAACAGACGAATACCCAAGTTGACGACAGACAACTCGAGCATCATTTTTATCCCAATTATCGTCACAAACAGTTCCCCAGGTACCACTGTAATAGATCTCCACTCTGCCCTCTCCAGGCCCACTTCCTCCAATCAGTCTCAAAGTTGCTAGTGTTTAAGTTAGAGGTAAATTCGTATTGGGGTTTTGAAGAACAAACAAACAAAGCGAAAAAACAAACAACTATATTTCCCCGTCTGTTATCCTGGCATGCACACAGAATTTTTTAAAATGGAAAACTTCCTATTTTTGTTTAATCTCCGCACAGAACTTCTACGATGCTATTCGACTTAGGTGTGCAAAGAAATAGGGGAATACTGCAAAATGTAATAGGACGAGGGTAGGAATTTTCATTTTGAAAGAGCAACCACCAAGAGACCGGTATAAGGCCGTCATCTTTCAGCTACCTCTTCGATGACCGTATTAATGAGGAACAGAACTTAACTTGAATTTCCCTACAGGGCTTCCAAACACAACCACCAACTTTAGGGGGCAAGCAAGGCGTCTTAATAAGACCATGAATTGGCCATTTGCACATATGCCATAAGTTATGGCATAGGTGCAAATGGCCAATTGAAAACCTTGAATATAAAATGACTTAATGGTAGAAGTTGGATTCAAATTTCAACAGTGTTCAACAAGGTTAATTACTAGCAGTTTTTTCTTCTTTTAATTTTACATTTACATCGGTATTTTTACTTTTATTTTATTTTTTGCTTTTTAAGCATAATTAAATACACAGGTCGTATTTAATATCACGGTTTCCTCGATTTACACGCGTTTTTAATTGAGCTGGTGCACTATTTAACAATTAGTTCATGCGTCAGCGTGTGTATGTCGAGATATTGAGCGCGCGGGAAGTTTGGAGAGCACGAAAGAGGCGTAAGAGTTTACTATCGGTCAACAAATTCAAACGTTTCCTCTTAAATTTCCTTATAAAAATACATGGTAAACGCTTCATTGTCTATTGCTGAGTTATGGATGCACTCAGGAGACTCAGGATTGCTAAGCTCACAACAACTCGCGGAATTACGAATAGTTTATTGACGTCATCAGCGTGCTCAATAGGAATATGAAGCACGCTCGCGCTATTGAATTTGATTAGGGGAATTTTCTAGCTATGTTATAAATATCAAGTGAATAGCAATCTAGAGTTACGTCACAAAGAACACAACAATGATCCCTAGCCTGTCAACAATAACACAATAAACTCCACCCAATAGAATGGCACAATAGTGTATATATTGACTTGGTATATCGAGCATCATCCGGTTTTGAACAAAAATTAATTCAAAATGGCAGATTTAATATCTAATGGCGTTGTTCCAGCACGTTCTCTATTAATAAAAAAAGTCATCACGACGCCACTGCTATTGCAAAAGACTATCCGTGTGTTAGCCGACTTCATAAGTTTTTTAAACATTTCACTATTTTAGCATTTTCCGCTTCATGGCTACTCCTAGACAAAAAAAATGATGATTGAATTCTGCTTATAACCCATAACAATGTTACGTCAAAAGTACGTCAAATCGCGTTCGTTATCCCGGCCTACATGTTGAAAATGATGAGTACATCATTAGGTGTAATTTTGGTGTATGTTTCATGTAATATATCAAACATGAGATGCAGTGTTTCATCACCAGATGAAACACCGAGAAGAGAGTTGAAAATACGACGCGCAGCGGAGTATTTTTGACGAACTTCGAGGTGTTTCATCTGGTGATGAAACACTGTGTCGAATGTTTGATATTTCTTCTCAAACAAAATCATTTTTGAAGGAGAAATTAAGGATGCAAAAATGAGCAGTTTTTCATCTGATATCCAAACACTCATTAAACATTAATTTCCTTTGAATTTTCTTTATGAATTATTAATGAGTTTGAGAAGTAATATATCAAACATGAGATGCAGTGTTTCATCATCAGATGAAACACCGAGAAGAGAGTTGAAAATACGACGCGCAGCGGAGTATTTTTGACGAACTTCGAGGTGTTTCATCTGGTGATGAAACACTGTGTCAAATGTTTGATATTTCTTCTCAAACAAAATCATTTTTGAAGGAGAAATTAAAGAGGCAAAAATGAGCAGTTTTTCATCTGATATCCAAACACTCATTAAACATTAATTTCCTTTGAATTTTCTTTATGAATTATTAATGAGTTTGAGAAGTAATATATCAAACATGAGATGCAGTGTTTCATCATCAGATGAAACACCGAGAAGAGAGTTGAAAATACGACGCGCAGCGGAGTATTTTTGATTTATCTTCGAGGTGTTTCATCTGGTGATGAAACACTGTGTCGAATGTTTGATATTTCTTCTCAAACAAAATCATTTTTGAAGGAGAAATTAAGGATGCAAATACTAAGCAGTGTTTCATCCGATTTCCAAACACTCATTAAACATTAATTTCCTTTGTATTTTCTTAATGAATTATTAATGAGTTTGAGAAGATCTGTTTTAAAGTTATAGAAGCGATCCTCCGACGTTTCCTTGTCTTAGGAAGCCAGAAAAGGAAAAAAAGCATGGTCAGGTTAGGGTTAAACGTTTCTTAATTACGTATGGCGATAAGTTTTGTCCTGTTTTGTGGAACTTTTGTCGTTTCAAAGCTACAATATTTCTACTGCTATTTTAAATAAACAAAGCGAAAAACCAAACAACTCTAATCTCCCATCTGTTATCCTGTCATGCAAACAGAATCTTTTAAATGAAAAACTTCGTGGTTTTGTGTAATAATCTGCACAGAACTTCTGCGATGCTATTCGACTGAAGCGTGCAAAGAAATAGGGGAATACTGCGAAATGTAACAGAACTAGGCTAGGGATTATCATTTTAAAAGAGCAACCACTAAGAGCCCCTTATAAGGCCGTCATCTTTCAGCTACCTCTTTGATGGCCATATTATTGAGGAGCAGAACTTAACTTGAATTTCCCGCTAAACTTGATTTAAAAATAAAACCATCCGTGAAAACGCCTCGACATACTGGCTAAGAGAGTTTAATGGGACCGGCGGAGAGGGAATCTTCAGCTGTTGGCATGGATATGTGAATTTCACTAAATTTGTTTTTAGTGGTTGTAATTAAAATGAAGTCTTATTCCTAAGGCGTCCACACATTTTAATCAAGTCCAAAAATCAAACCCTCAAGGCAAACAAATGGCAGAATATTTGCAATGATGGCTGTTGATTTCTCTCTTGACAACGCTGAATCAAGTTTGAACAACAGTGGCAAATCAAAGGTGAGAGTGCGGGGATGATTCGAAAGTCCCTTATGTATTACACCAATCATGCCGTGATATATCATTTAGTGGTTAATTAGGCGCTTTGTGACTAGAGGTTTGTACAAATGGCTGCGAAGGTGAAATTTTAATGTAAATACTATGAACTGCAAGCTAATAAGATTAGGAAAAAATATCTGTGGAACAGTTTCAAATAGTCACACTCATGTGACACTTGTCAAGTAATAGATCCTGCTTTGCACAATGTAAACTATTCCAATGGGTCTACAATTATATGGTCAGTAATTTCATTTTTTCTAAAAGAATTAGTATATAATTTGCGTAGGAGAAGGTGTCACCTTCCTCAGATAAAAACGGAGAGATACAAGAAAACTTTTGTAAATAGACTTATTTTTAAATATAATTTAGTATAGCATTATTCTATCTTATATTACTATTGTATTTTATCGTGTATCTTTTATTATTAAAAACTGAATCATTGGATAATGCAATTCTAGCATTTTGATTGACCTAGCCGTTAGGGTATATGAGCTATTATACCATGCTCTCCATATATGGTCGGTGTACGCGTCAGTTTAAAATTGGAAGCTAGCTGAGAATTTTTTTCGCGAAGGATAGAACGGTGCCCGAAGCAAATCGTTTTAATTCATTTCTCAGAATACTAGAAATGCAATTTCATCGACAGAAAAAAGACAAAATCAAACAAAAAAGCCACAAGAGCTTGTTTGAAAGTTTGTCGAAAAACACATGAAAACACATGGAACTAAAGGTACCTTGACCAGATACAAAAGAAGACAAGTGTTGTTTCTTCATGATAGCGAAGCCATTCGCCGATCGAGTCACTCGCCGATAGATAACTGCGGCTTGTTTATCCGACATCAAGAATATAAATCACAAGTAACCTGCTACAAATACAGGCTATGCAGCCATTCACTAGAGCAATCGAGGCGGCAGTATAGCTTCTTTTCTCGTTCAGCAAAACCAGCTTGTGGCTTCAAACAACTTGATAACAAGCTACCGAGGTAATAGTTTTTCTCTGTTGTTCTTACTTTTATAACTGCACCGAAAATCCAAATTCACAGTAATTTCGACGGCTGTCACTTAGAAATTCTTTTCCTTCACATTATCTGCCAGGTTTTTTTAGCTGTTCTGCTGTGTAAAATCCTAGAATCCCGATGAGTTTTTAAAAAACTAGTGTTCATCGCTACGATGTTTTGATTTTTCATTCATGCAGTCCAGGCGAGTCCGTTCGCGCGTTGACAGTTTTGATAGACGTGTGACATGTGAATAGCGGAAGCCCCTTGTCTTTTCCGGTTTATTCTAGTCGGGGAGATTCAACGAGTTTTTGTGGGCGTTTTTAATAAAACAATTATTCCACTCGCGCTTGTTGGATATTAGATTATTATAGCCCCCTCGGCGCTACGCACCTCGTTGGCTCTCTATCACCTCATATCCAACACGACCTCGTAGAATAATTGTTAAACACATTTTCACTGTAACTTAGAATATGTATTTTTATCCTTTGATTGAATAAAAACTATCATTATTAAGACTATTATTAAGTAGAATCATACAAACTACGTATTACAAAAGCTTGCCCACCCAAACTATCTGGAAATTCTCGGGTCCAAGGCAAGTTTGGCCTGAACAGAGGTGTCCGCCCTGAATGGAGGTTGGGCTGGGGTTTGTTAATAATTAACAAACAAATAAATCTGCATTTTTTATTCTGCCTCGGAATCTGCTGCAGTCATTATTTCAAGCATCTACATAATGTACAAAAAAATCCTGATTAACTTATTTCTGTGATGTGGTGTGTTGAAGTCTCACAAGGGTAATGCATCGTTTTCAACTCAGATAGTTCATGCTTTGATAGCTGTCGCCATTGTGACTAGTGAACACTTGAACTTATCAACGAATTTTGCCGTTAATCAGCTTTTTGGTGCTGATTAAAATGTCTCTTGAATGGAGGTTAAAGCCGGGTTTCGGGATCCAGAAAAAGTGTTCCTTTCCCTTAATAGAGACATCCCTTCAATAGAGGTAACAAATAAAAAAGTTATGTATGTGAACATTTTTCTGGGACTCCCCTGAATTTTCCCTTCAATACGGAGGTGTCCCGAGAGGGTCCATTGGTAATTGACATTCGGCGTATCTCTATAAAAGTTATAATAATTATAAATTACAATCTATTTATTAATACGCTTACTTGAACAGATCACTGATGCATCCTCATGGTGTCCACAGTTATGCACACCCCATGGACTGTGTCGACAATTCACAATGGAACTTTCATTTCCTTGACACTGAACATTGTCCAGCCAAATCTTTCCACTTCCTTGACCAAACCGTGCACTGTGTGGAGCACTGACAACAGACGAATACCCAAGTTGACGACAGACAACTAGAGAATCATTTTTATCCCAATGATCGTCACAAACAGTTCCCCAGGTACCTCTGTAATAGATCTCCACTCTGCCCTCTCCAGGCCCACTTCCTCCAATCAGTCTCAAAGTTGCTAGTGCATAAGTTAGAGGTAAATTCTTATTGGGGTTTTGGAGAACAAACAAACAAAGCAAAAAAAAAAACAAACAACTCTATTTCCCCATCTGTTATCCTGTCATGCACAGAGTATTTTAAAAGGAAAACTTCTTATTTTTGTTTAATCTCAGAACAGAACTTCTACGATGCTATTCGACTTAAGTGTGCAAAGAAATAGGGGAATACTGCGAAATGTAATAGAACGAGGGTAGGAATTTTCATTTTGAAGGAGCAACCACCAAGAGACCGGTATAAGGCCGTCATCTTTCAGCTACCTCTTCGATGACCGTATTAATGAGGAACAGAACTTAACTTGAATTTCCCTGCGAAACTTGATTTAAAAATATAACCGTCCGTGAAAACGCCTCGATATACCAGCCAAGAGAGTTTAATGGGACAGGCAGAGAGGGAATCTTAAGGTGTTGGCGTGGATATGTGAATTTCACCAAATTTATTTTTAGTGGTTGCAATTATACGGAAGTCCTATTCCTAAGGCGTCCGCGCAAATTTAATCAAGTCCAGATATCAAACCCTCAAAGCAAAAAAAAGCAAAATATTTGCAATGGCTACAGTTGAATTCTTTCTTTGCAACGCTGAATCAAGTTTGAACAACAGTGGCGAATCAAAGGTGAGAGTGCGGGGATCATTGCAAAGCCCCTTATGTATTACTCCAATCATGCTGTGATATATCATTTAGTAGTTAATTAAGCGATTTGTGACTAGAGGTTTATGCAAATGGCTGCTAGGTAAAATTTTAATGGAAATACTATGAACTGCAAGCTAATAGGAGTAAGAAAAATAAAAAACCCCGGGAACAGTTTCAAATAGTCACACTCATGTGACGCCTGTCAAGTAATAGATCCTGCTTTGCCCAATGTAAACTATTCCAATCGGTCTATTTGTTCAATTCAATTCTGTTCTAATTTGCGCGGACGCCTTAGGAATAATTTCATCTATATGTTTCAGGTCTACAATTATATAGTCAGTAATTTCATTATTTCTAATAATAAATAGAATCACACAAACTACATATTACAACAGCTTGCCCACCCATAATATCGGGAAATTGTCGGGTCCAAGGCAAGCTTAGCCTGAACAGAGGTGTCCGCCCTGAATGGAGGTTGGGCTGGGGTTTGTAAATAATTAATTAACAAATAAAACTGCATTTTTTATTCTTCCTCGGAATCTGCTGCAGTCGTTATTTCAAGCATCTAGATAATGGAGAAAAAATCCTGATTAACTTATTTCTGTGATGTATTGTATTGAAATCTCACAAGTGTCATACATCGTTTTCAAGTGAGATAGTTCATTTTTTGAAAGCTGTCGCCATTGTGACTAGTGAACACTTAAACTTATCAGGGCAATTCCACGCGAGACAATGAAATTTTGAACTTTTAAAATAAAATTTTGCGCAATAAAGCTTGTACCGACAAAAAGTTGAGACGATGGGGTATTTGAAATACTGAGATCTTGAGCATCTTGTCCATGTGCTTAATGTGAGAAGGCATTAAATCTGGTGAATTTGAATCTCATCATATTTGGAATTTTTGGAAGGAAATTTTCAACAAAGTTTTTACATCTAAGAAAGCATGACAATAAACAAAAGTTTGTGTGTATAACCTTTGCCTCACACTATCATTAGGCCATAAATTATTATATCCGGGTACTGGTACTTTCCTAAGAGAATAGACATTGAATTTGTGTTGTGGACATTACGTAATGTCCGCAACATTAAGGTACTTTTTTCAGTTCCTCTACACAGTTCACTGTATTTTCATGTGGTATTGATGCTGCTCAGTTAGTCTAATGTATACTTTATTTTAATCTCAAAATATTTCCAGGGTCAGCTTTCTCTGCTCAAAAATTATAAGTTGAAAAGTGCTGCGGACATTACACATTGGTTTTATAGACTTCATACAACTTAGAATCCTCTTTCAACTTTTTTTTACAAATTTTCTTGACCTTTCAGTGCTTATCTTAAGCACTGCAATTGACCTTTTTACAATCGACTACTATGAATTTTTATTTTGAGGGTTGGATAAGGAGAAATTGAGTAGCTGGTCAGGGGTTTTGTACTGTTGAGCAAGCCCAGAACTGTTTGTTTTAAGTATGCTCTTTGAGGAAAACAACTGACCATCATTGCTTCTTCTGATTTTCTACTCACTCTTGAATGAGTATTAGTTTTGAAGTAGAATTTGTAATGTAATAATCTTAATGTGGTGGACAATTTGCAATTTTAGTGCAGATTTACATTTTATCTGTATTTAAGTCAGACTGAATGACAAGAAATTATAATTTCAGTTAAGCTAAATCAGTTTCGGAAAAAAAAAGATCTCACTACTGAGGGTTTCTTTTCTCACAACATTTACTTGAGATGTAATAAAATTAATTTTGAAATCATTTTAAGGAGTCAGTATAGAAGAAAAAAATCTGACTGGCATTGCATGATACTAGGTCAGCAGGAGATTATATAATATTGTAATAGAACATATTAAATAAAGCAAATAATAATTTCACAGCTTCATTTTTAGACAAGTAACTACAGAAAAAAATTGACATAGCCACAGTGAGGAACACTGACTAGAAAGTGAAAGATAAAAAATGTGTTCCCAAACTGTAATGTCAGCAACATTTTTGTGTAATGTCGGCAACACAAACGTTTGTTTGTAGAATCATTGGAACGAGGTTGCATGGAATTTTTTTTTTTTGACGGTTAAAAAATTTGATTATTGCAATGTTTTGAAGTTACAATTATTTTCTGCTCTAGCTTAAAAATTCACAGTGCAATATCTTTAAAGAAAGTTATTTTAAAAAGTGGTTTTTTAAAAATGTAATGTCCGAAACACAGTTTCCTCAACTGATATCTTCAAGGTCATGAGAGCTCACTAAAGCATCTGTTTATTAAGAGGGTCTGAATGGGGGGGTCCATTTGTCGGTTGTCGGTTAAAATTCAGTTACTTTGTCGGTAGTCGGTTAAAATTTTCGATCTTTGTCGGTAGTCGGTTAAACTTCTTGATTTTTGTTGGTTATGCGAAAATCTCAGTTAATAAGTAAAAACGCTTGTTAATTATTAATATTTTTTATGTATTTCACCAAGTTTCAAGACTTTGATCCCAAGGGAAAGAGTAAAACTTGTAAGAATGCATCATTTGATTGCCACTTAAACTTCATTAACTCTTGTTTGTTTATGCAACATGACCGTCAGGAGCCAATCGGCTCCCGTGGTCGTTTATTTCACCATTGTTTGCCAAATGAATATCATGCGTACTGATAAGATCACCAAACGTTTTACTGTAAATGCGAACTTGGTTTCCCTGTCGATTACACGGCACCGTAAAAAGTAATTAATTAATTAATGGACACCAGCCTTTTGGATACTTAAGTTATCAGCTTAGTGGAAAACTTCAAGGGGTGATGGACTGCACATCTATCCTTTGCCATAAGTTTCCTTCCTCAAAGAAATAACACTTTAACCCTCGGACATACAAGGGGTGGAAGGTGGATGCCACTCCCTTTAGGTTTTCTGGGATTTTTCCAAGAGGATAAAACATCAGCACCTGAGGTTTTCAGTAGATGTTCGTTTATCCCTCGCTATTAAGTACATAGGGAACACTAAAGTTACTTTCTAGATATGTTTGAACACCAGTGTAGAACATTTTGACATTTAAATTGGGGTTTAAATTGTTAATTTTAGTATCTGAATGTAATGTCCGCAACATTGAATCACCCATCAACGAATTTTGTCGTTAGTCAACTTTTGGGTGCTTATTAAGATGTCCCTTGAATGGAGTTTAAAGCCGGGTTTCGGGATCCAGAAAAAGTGTTCCTTTCCCCAGAATAGAGAGGTCCCTTCATTAGAGGAAACAAATAAAAAGGTTCTGTATGTGAACACTTTCCTGGGACTCCCCTAAATTTTCCCTTCAATACGGAAGTGTCCCGAGAGGGTCCATTGTAATTGACATTCGGCTCATGATCAACTCTAATAAAAGCTATAATAATTATGAATTACAATCTATTTATTAATACGCTTACTTGAACAGATCACTGATGCATCCTCATGGTGTCCACAGTTATTCTCACCCCATGGACGGTGTCGACAATTCACAATGGAACTTTCATTTCCCTGACACTGAACATCGTCCAGCCAAATCTTTCCACTTCCTTGACCAAACCGTGCACTGTGTGGAGCACTGACAACAGACGAATACCCAAGTTGACGACAGACAACTAGAGAATCATTTTTATCCCAATGATCGTCACAAACAGTTCCCCAGGTACCTCTGTAATAGATCTCCACTCTGCCCTCTCCAGGCCCACTTCCTCCAATCAGTCTCAAAGTTGCTAGTGCATAAGTTAGAGGTAAATTCTTATTGGGGTTTTGGAGAACAAACAAACAAAGCAAAAAAAACAAACAACTCTATTTCCCCATCTGTTATCCTGTCATGCACACAGAGTATTTTAAAAAGGAAAACTTCTTATTTTTGTTTAATCTCAGAACAGAACTTCTACGATGCTATTCGACTTAAGTGTGCAAAGAAATAGGGGAATACTGCGAAATGTAATAGAACGAGGGTAGGAATTTTCATTTTGAAGGAGCAACCACCAAGAGACCGGTATAAGGCCGTCATCTTTCAGCTACCTCTTCGATGACCGTATTAATGAGGAACAGAACTTAACTTGAATTTCCCTGCGAAACTTGATTTAAAAATATAACCGTCCGTGAAAACGCCTCGATATACCAGCCAAGAGAGTTTAATGGGACAGGCAGAGAGGGAATCTTAAGGTGTTGGCGTGGATATGTGAATTTCACCAAATTTATTTTTAGTGGTTGCAATTATACGGAAGTCCTATTCCTAAGGCGTCCGCGCAAATTTAATCAAGTCCAGATATCAAACCCTCAAAGCAAAAAAAAGCAAAATATTTGCAATGGCTACAGTTGAATTCTTTCTTTGCAACGCTGAATCAAGTTTGAACAACAGTGGCGAATCAAAGGTGAGAGTGCGGGGATCATTGCAAAGCCCCTTATGTATTACTCCAATCATGCTGTGATATATCATTTAGTAGTTAATTAAGCGATTTGTGACTAGAGGTTTATGCAAATGGCTGCGTAGGTAAAATTTTAATGGAAATACTATGAACTGCAAGCTAATAGGAGTAAGAAAAATAAAAAACCCCGGGAACAGTTTCAAATAGTCACACTCATGTGACGCCTGTCAAGTAATAGATCCTGCTTTGCCCAATGTAAACTATTCCAATCGGTCTATTTGTTCAATTCAATTCTGTTCTAATTTGCGCAGACGCCTTAGGAATAATTTCATCTATATGTTTCAGGTCTACAATTATATAGTCAGTAATTTCATTATTTCTAATAATAAATAGAATCACACAAACTACATATTACAACAGCTTGCCCACCCATAATATCGGGAAATTGTCGGGTCCAAGGCAAGCTTAGCCTGAACAGAGGTGTCCGCCCTGAATGGAGGTTGGGCTGGGGTTTGTAAATAATTAATTAACAAATAAAACTGCATTTTTTATTCTTCCTCGGAATCTGCTGCAGTCGTTATTTCAAGCATCTAGATAATGGAGAAAAAATCCTGATTAACTTATTTCTGTGATGTATTGTATTGAAATCTCACAAGTGTCATACATCGTTTTCAAGTGAGATAGTTCATTTTTTGAAAGCTGTCGCCATTGTGACTAGTGAACACTTAAACTTATCAGGGCAATTCCACGCGAGACAATGAAATTTTGAACTTTTTAAAATAAAATTTTGCGCAATAAAGCTTGTACCGACAAAAAGTTGAGACGATGGGGTATTTGAAATACTGAGATCTTGAGCATCTTGTCCATGTGCTTAATGTGAGAAGGCATTAAATCTGGTGAATTTGAATCTCATCATATTTGGAATTTTTGGAAGGAAATTTTCAACAAAGTTTTTACATCTAAGAAAGCATGACAATAAACAAAAGTTTGTGTGTATAACCTTTGCCTCACACTATCATTAGGCCATAAATTATTATATCCGGGTACTGGTACTTTCCTAAGAGAATAGACATTGAATTTGTGTTGTGGACATTACGTAATGTCCGCAACATTAAGGTACCTTTTTTCAGTTCCTCTACACAGTTCACTGTATTTTCATGTGGTATTGATGCTGCTCAGTTAGTCTAATGTATACTTTATTTTAATCTCAAAATATTTCCAGGGTCAGCTTTCTCTGCTCAAAAATTATAAGTTGAAAAGTGCTGCGGACATTACACATTGGTTTTATAGACTTCATACAACTTAGAATCCTCTTTCAACTTTTTTACAAATTTTCTTGACCTTTCAGTGCTTATCTTAAGCACTGCAATTGACCTTTTTTACAATCGACTACTATGAATTTTTATTTTGAGGGTTGGAAAAGGAGAAATTGAGTAGCTGGTCAGGGGTTTTGTACTGTTGAGCAAGCCCAGAACTGTTTGTTTTAAGTATGCTCTTTGAGGAAAACAACTGACCATCATTGCTTCTTCTGATTTTCTACTCACTCTTGAATGAGTATTAGTTTTGAAGTAGAATTTGTAATGTAATAATCTTAATGTGGTGGACAATTTGCAATTTTAGTGCAGATTTACATTTTATCTGTATTTAAGTCAGACTGAATGACAAGAAATTATAATTTCAGTTAAGCTAAATCAGTTTCGGAAAAAAAAGATCTCACTACTGAGGGTTTCTTTTCTGACAACATTTACTTGAGATGTAATAAAATTAATTTTGAAATCATTTTAAGGAGTCAGTATAGAAGAAAAAAATCTGACTGGCATTGCATGATACTAGGTCAGCAGGAGATTATATAATATTGTAATAGAACATATTAAATAAAGCAAATAATAATTTCACAGCTTCATTTTTAGACAAGTAACTACAGAAAAAAATTGACATAGCCACAGGGAGGAACACTGACTAGAAAGTGAAAGATAAAAAATGTGTTCCCAAACTGTAATGTCAGCAACATTTTTGTGTAATGTCCGCAACACAAACGTTTGTTTGTAGAATCATTGGAACGAGGTTGCACGGAATTTTTTTTTTGACGGTTAAAAAATTTGATTATTGCAATGTTTTGAAGGTACAATTATTTTCTGCTCTAGCTTAAAAATTCACAGTGCAATATCTTTAAAGAAAGTTATTTTAAAAAGTGGTTTTTTAAAAATGTAATGTCCGAAACACAGTTTCCTCAACTGATATCTTCAAGGTCATGAGAGCTCACTAAAGCATCTGTTTATTAAGAGGGTCTGAATGGGGGGGTCCATTTGTCGGTTGTCGGTTAAAATTCAGTTACTTTGTCGGTAGTCGGTTAAAATTTTCGATCTTTGTCGGTAGTCGGTTAAACTTCTTGATTTTTGTTGGTTATGCGAAAATCTCAGTTAATAAGTAAAAACGCTTGTTAATTATTAATATTTTTTATGTATTTCACCAAGTTTCAAGACTTTGATCCCAAGGGAAAGAGTAAAACTTGTAAGAATGCATCATTTGATTGCCACTTAAACTTCATTAACACTTGTTTGTTTATGCAACATGACCGTCAGGAGCCGATCGGCTCCTGTGGTCGTTTATTTCACCATTGTTTGCCAAATGAATATCATGCGTACTGATAAGATCACCAAACGTTTTACTGTAAATGCGAACTTGGTTTCCCTGTCGATTACACGGCACCGTAAAAAGTAATTAATTAATTAATGGACACCAGCCTTTTGGATACTTAAGTTATCAGCTTAGTGGAAAACTTCAAGGGGTGATGGACTGCACATCTATCCTTTGCCGTAAGTTTCCTTCCTCAAAGAAATAACACTTTAACCCTCGGACATACAATGGGTGGAAGGTGGATGCCACTCCCTTTAGGTTTTCAGGGATTTTTCCAAGAGGATAAAACATCAGCACCTGAGGTTTTCAGTAGATGTTCGTTTATCCCTCGCTATTAAGTACATAGGGAACACTAAAGTTACTTTCTAGATATGTTTGAACACCAGTGTAGAACATTTTGACATTTAAATTGGGGTTTAAATTGTTAATTTTAGTATCTGAATGTAATGTCCGCAACATTGAATCACCCATCAACGAATTTTGTCGTTAGTCAACTTTTGGGTGCTTATTAAGATGTCCCTTGAATGGAGTTTAAAGCCGGGTTTCGGGATCCAGAAAAAGTGTTCCTTTCCCCAGAATAGAGGTCCCTTCATTAGAGGAAACAAATAAAAAGGTTCTGTATGTGAACACTTTCCTGGGACTCCCCTAAATTTTCCCTTCAATACGGAGGTGTCCCGAGAGGGTCCATTGTAATTGACATTCGGCTCATGATCAACTCTAATAAAAGCTATAATAATTATGAATTACAATCTATTTATTAATACGCTTACTTGAACAGATCACTGATGCATCCTCATGGTGTCCACAGTTATTCTCACCCCATGGACGGTGTCGACAATTCCCAATGGAACTTTCATTTCCCTGACACTGAACATCGTCCAGCCAAATCTTTCCACTTCCTTGACCAAACCGTGCACTGTGTGGAGCACTGACAGCAAACGAATACCCAAGTTGACGACAGACAACTCGAGCATCATTTTTATCCCAATTATCGTCACAAACAGTTCCCCAGGTATCGTTGTAATAGATCTCCACTCTTCCCTCTCCAGGCCCACTTCCTCCAATCAGTCTCAAAGATGCTAGCGCTGAATCAAGTTTAAACAGCAGTGGCGAATCAAAGGTGAGTGTGAGGGGATGATTGCAAAGCCCCTTATGTATTACACAAATCATGCTGTGATATATCATTTAGTAGTTAACTTGTGACTAGAGCTTTGTACAAATGGCTGCGTAGGTGAAATTTTAATGGAAATACTATGAACTGCAAGCTAATAAGATTAGGAAAAATTGTCTGTGGAACAGTTTGAAATAGTCACACTCATGTGACGCCTGTCAAGTAATAGATCCTCCATTGCACAATGTAAACTATTCCAATGAGTCTACAATTATATAGTCAGTGAATTCATTATTTCTAATAATAAATAGAATCACACAAACTACGTATTACAACAGCTTGCCCACCCAAAATATCGGGAAATTCTTTGGTCCAAGGCAAGTTTAGCATGAACAGAGGTGTCCGCTCTAAATGGAGGCAATGGGCTGGGGTTTGTTAATAATTAACTAACAAATAAAACTGCATTTTTTATTCTGCCTCGGAATCTGAGTCCTGAGAGGGTCCATTGTAACTGACATTCGGCTGAACTCTAAGAGGAGCTATAATAATTATAATTACAATCTATTTATTACTTACTTGAACAGATCACTGATGCATCCTCACTGTGTCCACAGTTATGCTCACCCAATGGGCGGCGTCGACAATTCACAATGGAACTTTCATTCCCCTGACACTGAACATCGTCCAGCCAAATCTTTCCACTTCCTTTACCAAACCGTGCACTGTGTGGAGCACTGACAGCATACAAATACCCAACTTGACGACAGACAACTCGAGCATCATTTTTATCCCAATTATCGTCACAAACCGTTCCCCAGGTACCGTTGTAATAAATCTCCACTCTGCCCTCTCCAGGCCAACTTCCTCCAATCAGTCTCAAACCTATTGGTGTAGAAAGTAGACGCAATGGATATTTTGGTCTTGGGACAAATATAGCTAAATATAAACCTATTTGATTATGCAAGCATTAGCTTCAGGGCTTAAGCATTTGTTAAAAGTGCTCGAATTTGAGCAAGTCTCGGCTTAAAGTAAATGCTCCAAAGCGATGTGGGGTAAGCAAAAGCCGTTGGCATATTTAGATGTCTTATATTTTTTCCAAGCTCTCCCTTACTCCCTCCCGCCCTGTCATCTGTAGTCAGAGCCAGTTACAAACAACCCACCACTTGCCTTGCTCAAACTTAATTCAAATCTACAGGGCTTCCAAACAAAGCCACCAACTTTAGGGGGCAAACGAGGCGTCTTATGGCAGATGTGCAAATGGCCAATTCAAACACTTGAATATAAAATGACTCATTGGTAGAATTTGGATTCAAATTTCAACAGTGTTCAACAAGGTTAATTACTAGCAATTTTTTACTTTTAATTTTACGTTTACATCGGTATTTTTACTTCTATTTTATTTTATCTTTTGCTATTTTATCATACTTTCAGACACAGGTCGTTTTTAATATCACGGTTTCCTCTATTTACACGGGTTATTAATTGAGCTGGTGCACTATATATCAAGTGAATAGCAATCTAGAGTTACGTCACAAAGAACACAACAATGATACCTAGCCCGTAAACAATAACACAATTAACTCCACACAATGAAACGACACAATAGTGTATATATTGACTAGGTATATCGAGCATCACCCGGTTTTGACTGAACAAAATCAATTCAAAATGGCAGATTTAATATGGCGTTGTTCCAGTACGTTCTCTAATAATAAACAAAGTCATCATGACGCCACTGCTTCTGTTAAAGATTATCCGAGTGTTAGCCAACTTTAAAAGTTTTTTAAACATTTCACTATTTTAGCATTTTCCGCGTTTTGGTTACTCCTAGGCAAATAAAATAATAAAATTTTTATTCTGCTTATAACTCATAACAATGTTACGTCATAAGTACCTCAAATCGCGTGAGTTATCCCTAGATGTTGAAAATGATGAGTACATTATTAGGTATAATTTTGGAAGATGTGTTATGATCTGTTTTAAGTTATAGAGGGGAGCATCCTACGTTTTCCTTTCTTAGGAAGCCAGAAAAGGAACAAAAAGCATGGTCAAATTAGGGTTAAACTTTTGTTTATTAAGTATAACGATTAGTTTTTTCGTGTTTTGTCGAACTTCTGTCGTTTTAAACGTGCAACATTTCTACTTATCATTTATGTATAGATCATTTTTTCAACGTGGAACAGAGGAACTCCATCTTACTGCTATTTATACTTTAAGGCAAAAACCAAAGAGGGTAAATGTCTTTAATTTTGTCTTACACATAGAGAATACTTCATGGAAAGTGCTGACGTACGGTATTTACGCACGAGTTGTTGACGTATCAGAAATCGAACGAGTGAGCGCAGCGAACGAGTAAGATTTCTGATACAAAAACAACGAGTGCGTAAATACCGTACAAAGCACTTTCCATGTGGTATTTTGTTTATTATATACATACTGAGACATTCATCATTTTGGTGGCCTTTTTATTTTAAATCGTTCAAAAATGCTAAAATTTGCCGCTACACACTTAACGCAAAATGACAACGAAAACGAAGTATCAGCTTTTTTAGTAAAAACGTTTGTTAAAAACATAAATGACGGTAAGGATATGAGGTAATCCAAGAACTATAAGTAATCTTAACTGTTTGTTCTCAATGCACAATTGAAAATGAGTGAATTTAAGTAAAATGGCCGGTTTCAATATAAGCTTAAGCTTAAATGAAAGGCAAACTAGCTCCGACAAAAAGCACAACAAAAGCTTACGTCTCGTTTTGTTTTTCCCTTTCCGCTGTTTCGCCGGCTCTCTACCGTTTTCTTTATCGACAGTGAAACAAACGAAACTATTCCACTCCATTTCCGAAATGTTTTTCACTTTTTTAGCGAGAAAAACTCTTTGAGTAAAACTTTTCTCGTTGAATGTGTGCGAAGCGGCGCTGCAAGCTGCAATAAAAGGCGGGAATTTTGGCGCGAAACTCACACTCCTCTGTGGCTTCTGATTGGACGTATCATTTTTCTCACACGTGAAAAAACATCGTTCGCGATTCTGATTGGACGTATCATTGTTTTTCACGTGTGAAAACCATCGTTCGCTCCTCTGATTGGCTAGAACTAATTTGCGTACGAAAATTTACGACATAGCTTTTTGGTGAGTATTTCTCAGTACGTATATAATAAATGGCACTTACCTACGCAGCGTGGACGAGAGGAACTCCAACTCCTATTAGCTTGACAATATATAGTATCAGCCCCAACTAGAGTGTAATTCTTGTCACAAACAAACTTGACTGATCCGCCATAGACGTAGCCTTTCTTGACAATCTGATCTCCATTGGTGGGTTTGCCAGGATCACCACACTCAACAGCTATAACAATTCCAAGGGATCTAAATTTTTTATCTTTGTCCTTTACAATTAAACACGTATGGGAAACGAAGATCACAGGATACTAGGTAAAACTTTGACTACAAATCGAGTAGATGCACTCGAGTTAATTCTTCATTTGACAGTTAAAATTTGAGGGCTTAGTTATTTTGCAGCCATTACAAAAATTTGTTACCTAAAATTAAAAGTTGCAAAAAACAACAACAACATTAAGCTCCAAAATCAATACAACTTTTTATTTTGGAAAACAAGAAGACTGCAAACAGATAAGATAGCGTGGTCGCACGTACCTTCCGCATTTATGATAGGATGTGTCGCACGTTTCTTAAAAGTCCCTGCAAATTTTTCAGCCTAAAGCCATTTTCTTGAATTAAAACCTGAGTCTCCAAACTATCCATTCTATTATTTGTTCCTTTATCTGATAGTTTTCTTTGTACCTCTTTTAAAACTGTTATAACCTCGATCTTCAAGTTAAATGCCTAAACAAAACCCTCAGATTTCCTGGATAGGTCACTACCAAGACTTTCCAAAAACTCAGGTCCATGTCGCATAAGGTGATAAACTTACACATGTTATCTCCGCGGAAAAAAAAGAACTCTACTAAGAGCAATGTTTCATTTGGTACATCATAAGAAGCTAAGTAAACGAGCGTTATGATGCGAACTCTGAGGGATCTCCTTGAGAATCTATTCGGCTGTACTTCACCGGCCGAACGCGGTGCATTTTCCTCAGAACCGTCTTTATTTCTCTTTGCCGGAGCTGATGGTACTCGAGTTGGCGATTGAAGTGAAGTAGATCTCTTTTCTTGCACTCTTACGGCCTCATCTCTAATTCAAATATTTTTTTACAAAAGCGACATAATAAGCTGACATGCTGAAGTGTTGACATTTCAATGACAAGTTAATTGCTGGAGGGCGGATCGGAGGCATCAAAGGCATCTCTCCAGGCTCCGCCAACCTTTTCCCTCCCCAGACTACCTTACGGATCGCCTCGCTCGCCAATTTTTTTTTCCCCCACGCCCATTTTTTTTTCCTTTTTTTTCCCAATGTGGATCCTAGTCCCAGGCTACAAGCTATATATGTCTAAATACAAATTCATGCACGCTTAAAAATGTACCTTTGCACTTGGGGGTATCAGTATTCCATGTTCCCTCTTCACAAGTCACTTCAGCCTCGCCTTCAAGTGTGAACCCAGCGTCACAAGAGTATCGAACTGTCTTTCCGTGCTTGTAGTTATTACCGATTTTAAAGCCGTGATTTATATCACCAGGGGATCGACAGTTAGCTTGAATTTGAACAGAAAGAAAACTCTTAATAACAAAAACAACAACAACAACAACAAATTTTATTGAAAATTGGGAAATAACTAATTACATTACTTTCCCACCCGCAAATAGCTTATAAACTAATCGAGGCGGGGGGAGCTGAAGATATATTACAAAACAAGATTTATATATAGATGGACTAAATAACAGTGAAGACACTACTATACAGTAAATAGAATTTAAACTAACATAAAACAGAAAAACAAGGGTAAACGAATGATTTGTTCTTTGACACCAAATTTCATAGTAAATTAATTGGTTTCGTTAACTTGCGTTTCTCTCAGTTTTATTCAGCACACTAAGTTAAATTGTTCGAACAACTAGTATTAATGCGTATTTCTAAAAAGCTACAATTTTCTACCGCTAATTTGCATAAATTACATTTCTACGACCATCTAATCTTACTGCTATTTATACTTTAAGGCAAAAACTAATGAGGGCAAATGTCTTTAATTTTCTCTTATGCATGTCACGTACCTACGCAGCGTGGAACAGAGGAACTCCAACTCCTATTAGCTTGACAATATATAACATCAGCCCCCACTAGAGTGTAATTCTTGTCACAAAGAAACTTGACTGATCCACCATAGATGTAGCCCTTCCTGAAAATCTGCTTTCCGTTTGTTGGTTTGCCAGGATTACCACACTCAACAGCTATCGTAATAATTATAGGGTGGTTAATTTTTTGGCCTTTGTTGTTTACATATAATAAACCAATACAAGAAATGAAGATTGCAGGTTATCCAGTAAAGCTTTAGCCTGCAACTTGAATAGACGCACAAGAGCTAATTCTTCTTTTACCAGTTTAAAGTTGCGGGCTATATAATTCATTTTCCAGTCATTCCCATAATTTGCCACGTCATTTAAAAAGTTGCAAATAAAATAACCTTAACTTCCAAAATCAACGAAAGCTTTTATTTTGGAAATGGAAAACCACAGGTAACCCAGGCTCGAAATATGAGCATCGGCGAGCATCGGCATTGTTGCGTAACATTCAAGTTATAAGGATTTGTATGGGGAAAAAACCTATCGCTTCCGTAACGTACGAAAATGAAAGGATTTCAATAAAAAACAGCTTACCTTACTAAAATGTGTGTTACGTCTCTCCTGTCTCGTCCACGGGCCGATTTATGGCCTTTTTATGGGTTTTTATGTAAACGGTTTTCTCTCTACAGAAGGTTTTCACTGTGACGTCATCAAATTGTAAAGTCAAAATAGCGAGGTTTTACGAATTCATATTTACACTAGGTTGAAGATAGACAAAAAGTAAATCTTTGTACAAGTTTCCATTTCCGTAGCATGTTCCATTTCGAAAATACAGCCATTTGAACTTCCGAGTTTTCACAGTGCGTGACACCAAAATAGGAATGCTGTCTCGTTGAAAAAAAGTCTCTCCTCTTGATTTTCAGCCATATAACCACTTTAAGTTTTAGAAGATATGTTTATGCGTACGCACGCTAGTTCTCGAGTGAAAAGAAAGAACTTTTATAGAAAAAGTAAACTCCAGATGTTTTTGTTGATTTCCGGCGGCCATATTGGTGCACCAAAACGGTGCACCAATATGGCATCTCCATACAAAGCTCTACAAATGTGCGTGAAACGTTTCGCCAAATAACTCAGAAACTATGGGTCACAAAGACCTGAGACTTGGACAAATTGTTTATATATTAGTCTTTTATAACATTTCATTTTCCTGGTTTCTTCCACTGGACGGTTTCCAATTTAATTTTTTGTTGCGTGACAGTGAAAACGATCTATATAAAGGTAAACCTTGCTCCTTATATTTTGAATGTTACGCAACAATGCCGATGCTCGCCGATGCTCATATTTTGAGCTTGGGCTACCTGTGGGAAAACAAGAATGAACGCTTACCTTTACACTTGGGAGTGGCAGTGTTCCATCTTCCATCTACACAAGTCAGTTCAGCCTCGCCTTCAATTGTGTACCCAAGGTTACAAGAGTATCGAACTCTTTTTCCGTGCGTGTAGTTATTACCGATTTTAAGGCCGTGATTTATATCACCAGGGGATCGACAGTTAGCTTTAATTTGAACAGAAAGAAAAAACTCTTAATAACAGAAAAACTAGCCAGGGTAAACGAATGATATGCTCTTTAAGACCAAATTTCATAGTAAATTAATCGTTAACTTGCGTTTCTCTTAGTTTTATTCAGCACACTAACTTAAATTGTTCGAACAACTAGTATTAATACGTATTTGTAAAAAGCTACAATTTTCTACCGCTAATTTGCATATATTACGTTTCTACGACCACTTACTCTTACTGTTATTTATACTTTAAGGCACAAACTAATGAGAGTAAATGTCTTTAATTTTCTCTTAGGCATGGCACTTACCTAAGCAACGTGGAACAGAGGAACTCCAACTCCTATTAGCTTGACAATATATAACATCAGTCCCCACTAGAGTGTAATTCTTGTCACAAACAAACTTGACTGATCCACCATAGACGTAGCCTTTCTTGACAATCTGCTTTCCGTTTGCTGGTTTGCCAGGATCACCACACTCAACAGCTATAATATATACATGGTAGTTAAAATCTTTTAGCCTTTGTCATTTACATGTAATGAACTAGAAAAAGAAATGAACATAGCAGGGTATTAAGTAACTGCAACTTGAATAGACCCACGCGAGCTAATTCTTCTTTGAACGGTTCAAAGTTGCGAGGTATGTAGGTCATTTTGCAACCATTACCGAAATCTGTCACGCAATTTAAAAAGTTCCAAATAAAACGACCCGCTTTACCTCCAAAATCAACACAAGCTTTTATCTTTAACAACAACAATGAGCGCTAACCTTTACACTTGGGAGAGGCAGTGTTCCACCTTCCATCTACACAAGTCAGTTCAGCCTCGCCTTCAAGTGTGTACCCAAGGTTACAAGAGTATCGAACTGTTTTTCCGTGCGTGTAGTTATTACCGATTTTAAGACCATGATGTAAATCACCAGGTGAGCGACAGTTAGCTTAATCAAAAACGAAAAAAATCAAGCTTAGCAACAGAAAAAAAGGAAGGGAATAAAATAAATTGCCCGTTATGTCTTTAGTTGATAAGAAACTAATTGACTGAATTCTTTCGATTTTGCTTTTACCTGATTCAGCGGCTTTGAAGGACCCAAATATCTTCAAAATAATTCAAACTACGTGTCTGACAACAAATTTAGGAAATTTTTCTCAAAATGATCAAATAACATTTTAGAATTATCGCGACCTGTACGTCAATTTTAACGTTATCATGGTATCCGAGGTTTTAACAGCCTTATTTTACAATACTTGCCTTTTTACTATATAAAATAATTGGATCAATTCATTTCAACGTTTACTTATTGAATATTGTATCCCAATAAATTTAGAATTATTTCGTATATCTATTATAACTGTTAATTTAATCCATTCTTTTTGATGACTAAATTCGTCATTTCAACATCTGCCATAATGCACCTTGTTTGCCCTCAAAAACTTGCATAAGCATTGTCTTCGTTTTCTGAAAAACTGCAATACCCAGGAGAAATCACACACAAAGGTTATGGAAAACTTTAGGGGGCAAACGTGGTGTCTTATGGCAGATGTGCAAATCGCCAATTCAAAAACTTGAATATAAAATGACTTAATGGTAGAAGTTGGATTTAAATTTCAACAGTGTTCAACACAGTTAATTACTAGCATTTGTTCTTTTTTTTTTCCTTTTAATTTTAAATTTACATCGGTATTTTTACTTTTATTTCATTTTATTTTTTGCTTTTTAAACATATTTTAATACACAGGACGTATTTAATATCACGGTTTCCTCGATTTACACGGGTTATTAATTGAGCTGGTGCACTATGTATCAAGTGAATAGCAATCTAGAGTTACGTCACAAAGAACACAACAATGATCCCTAATCGCCTAAACAATAACACAATTAACTCCACACAATAGAACGACACAATAGTGTATATATTGACTTGGTACGTCGAGCATCACTCGGTTTTGAACAAAATTAATTCAATTTTAAGTTACAGAGGGGAGCCTCTCACGTTTCCCTGTCTTAGGAAGCAAGAAAAGGAACAAAAAGCATGCTCAGATTAGGGTTAAACTCCTGTTTATTAAGTACGTATGACGATGCGTTTTCTCGTGTTTTGTCGAACTTTTGCCTTTTTAAAAGCTACAATATTTCTACTGCTAATTTAAGTATAGATCAGTTTTTAAGGACCACGAAAGGTAACTGTGTTTTACCCCTTTTAAAACCTTTTTGGAAAAAAATAATTAGCGAGACTAATGTCTTTTATTTTCTCTTACCCATGGCACTTACCTAAGCAACGTGGAACAGAGGAACTCCAACTCCTATTAGCTTGACAATATATAACATCAGTCCCCACTAGAGTGTAATTCTTGTCACAAGCAAACTTGACTGATCCACCATAGACGTAGCCTTTCTTGACAATCTGCTTTCCGTTTGTTGGTTTGCCAGGGTTACCACACTTAACAGCTATCGTAATAATTACAGGGTGGTTAATGTTTTAGCCTTTGTCGTTTACATATAATGAACTAATACAAGAAATGAAGATAGCAGGGTATTAAGTAACTGCAAATTGAATAGACCCACGCCAGTTAATTCTTCTTTAAACGGTTCAAAGTTGCGGGGTATGTAGCTCACTTTGCAACCATGACCGAAATCTGTCACGAAATTTAAAAAGTTGCAAATTTAACAACCCCTTTTACCTCCAAAATCAACACAAGCTTATATTTTAAAAAACAAGAGTTAACGCTAACCTTTACACTTAGGAGTGGCAGTGTTCCATCTTCCATCTACACAAGACAGTTCAGCCTCGCCCTCCAGTGTGTACCCAAGGTTACAAGAGTATCGAACTGTTTTTCCGTGTGTATAGTTATTACCGATTTTAAGACCATGATTTAAAACACCAGGTGAGCGACAGTTAGCTTAATCGGAAAGAAAAAATCAAGCTTAGCTACAGAAAATAGTAAGGGGACAAAACAAATTGCTCGTTATTTCTTTAGTTCTTTATAGAAACTAACTCACTGAGTTATTTTGATTTGGATTTTACGTTATTGAGACCAAGGAACATCTTTGAATATCTTCCAAATAGTTCAAACTATAAAATAAAACTTAGCAAATAGTCCTAAAAAATAATCTAAGAACATTTTAAAAGCAAGGGGACCTGTACGTCAACTTTAACGTTACCATGGCAACTCAGGTGTAACAGCCTTGTTTTACGAAATTCGTCTTTTTTTCTATAAAAGGTTTTCTGGCTGAAATACTGTATCGCGTTCAATTTAGAATTATTTAAATATTTGTTATAACTGTTAATTCAGTCAAGGCCTTTTGGTGACCAAATTCGCACTTCTCCCATAATACACATACTGATGTTCCGAAAGTTATCCTAGAATATGTTTGTAAAGCACCTTAAGTAAGCAAAGCACCTCAACCAAGTAAAGCACCTCAAGTAAGCAAAGCACCTCAAGCAAGTAAAGCACCTCAAGCAAGTAAAGCACCTCAAGCAAGCAAAGCACCTCAAGCAAGTAAAGCACCTCAAGTAAGCAAAGCACCTCAAGCAAGTAAAGCACCTCAAGCAGGTAAAGCATCTCAAGCAGGTAAAGCACCTCAAGTAAGCAAAGCACCTCAAGCAAGTAAAGCACCTCAAGCAAGTAAAGCACCTCAAGTAAGCAAAGCACCTCAAGCAAGTAAAGCACCTCAAGTAAGCAAAGCACCTCAAGGAAGCAAAGCACCTCAAGCAAGTAAAGCATCTCAAGTAAGCAAAGCACCTCAAGCAGGCAAAGCATCTCAAGCAGGCAAAGCACCTCAAGCAGGAAAAGCACCTCAAGCAAGTAAAGCACCTCAAGTAAGCAAAGCACCTCAAGCAGGCAAAGCATCTCAAGCAAGTAAAGCACCTGAAGTAAGCAAAGCACCTGTAGAAAGCAAAGAATCTGAAGTAAGTAAAGCACCTCAACAACTCAAGTTAGTAGAGAATCATAAGTAAGGTATTCACCTAAACTAAATTAAAGAAGAAAAGTATCTCTAGTAAGCAAAGCTACGACAGAAGATAAGTGAGATGAAGTATATAGACAACTATATGATGGCTGGACATGAAGTACTTCCCACAAAGTTCTTTTTTCGCATTACAATCTTATTCTTGGAAAACTTTCAGAAAAATTGCCACGAAAAGCGCGCTTAAATACTGAGTGAGTGTATGGGATGGTGCTCGTGCCCCCTCGGCATCCCATAATACTCCTTACATCTAATTAATTCAATATGGACGCCGTATCGGTAAAAAAAAATGAACATAAAATGACTTAATGGTAGATGTTGGATTCAAATTTTAACAGTGTTCAACAGTGTTAATTATCAGCAGTTTTTTACTGTTACATTTACATTTACATTACATTATTTACATTTACATCCCCTGTCTTAGGAAGCCAGAAAAGGGAAAAATCATGGTCAGATTAGGGTTAAACGTTTGTTTATTCCGTGTGACGATAAGTTAACTTTTTCATACAACGCGACGAACTTTTCTTGTCTATTGTTACGAACTTTTGTCGATTAAAAGCTACAATATTGCTACTGCTAATTTATGTATAGATCATGGTTTAACGACCAAAAATTGAACTGTCGTTTTTTACTATTAAGAACTCTTTGACAAAATTAGTTAGCGGGATTAATGTCGTTTATTTTCTCTTACCCATGGCACTTACCTAAGCAACGTGGAACAGAGGAACTCCAACTCCTATTAGCTTGACAATATATAACATCGGCCCCCACTAGAGTGTAATTGTTGTCACATACAAACTTGACTGATCCTCCATAGACGTAGCCTTTCTTGACAATCTGCTCTCCATTTTTTGGTTTACCAGGATCACCACATTCAACAGCTGTAATATTTTCAGGGAAGTCAATTTTTTAACCTTTATTTGTCGTTTATATATCAGATAAACTATAGTAGAAATTCAAGACTGGGGGATATCAAGACTACAACTTGGATAACTGACTGACCGAACACAAACGCGCGACGAGGAATGGTGACATCAACAATCACATTCTGGAACACCATTTAAAGACGAAACATCAACTTGACTGGGACTCTGCGACATGGATAACGTATTCTACAGACTACTATCAACGTCTTACTTTAGAAAGCTGGTTTACTAACTTAGAACAAACGCCACTGAATCGTAGCCAACAGTTACCAGCGCCGTACAAACGACTTATTGACGAGATCAAGCAAAACTAACTACGAGAGAACGACTGGAGAACTGACAATTTGACTAACAATAGACGACTGTTTAACTGTGACAATAGACGGATCGAAACGCACCAATTACTGATTACGAGTCTTCATAGCAAATAACATCAAGGCTTAACTGACCAATTAATTGACCAATCACGGATCAATAACCAGAGTATAATACCATCAACTGACGTGGTACAACTCACTTTGACTCTGAAGATGACTACCGCACAGGTTGTCGAAACGTCAGTCACTGTCAACAACAACAGTCTTATTCAGGACTACGTTCACTTGAACGATCAAAGTCAATCTACTTTTGAAATAATAAGATCCGTAACTATTTTTCTCAAATTTCGCAACGATTATAAACCTTTTAGTTTAAAAACTACCTTAAAACAGATTTACGAAACTTTCAGTGAACCAGTTGACCGAATTCTCGAAGACCGAGAAATCCCCTAGCTTACTAACCAATCTTGTGTGATGGCTGGGTGCTGGGTTACTGTGCTACATTAAGCTGTACCCACAAAATACTTATCTGCCGGCAACTTACGTTTGCATTCAGGCGTAGTCTCATTCCATGTTCCTTTTACGCAAGATATTATTTCTGACCCAAGCAGTTCGTAACCAACGTTGCATCGAAATTGAATGGACGATCCAGAACTGTAATCCTCTCCGATGATTGAACCATTTTTAAAAGGTTCTGGATTCTTGCAATTGCCTTTGGGCAAGAAAGAGAACGAAAATGTTCTATTTATTTATTTAAAAAAAGAAGAATATGCAGTTTACGTATATTTCCTTGAAGAAGAAATATTTCACCAAAAACTCTGTGGTCTAGTCATATCTCAAACCTTCACAAGTTGGAATACTGCCATTCCATTTTCCTTGAACACATTTGATCTGCCTCAAACCTTGCAATGTAAATCCCTCGTTACATGAAAAAGAGACTAATGCTCCATTTTCATTGCCATTGTTGTGTATTTTTCCATTCCTGAGGGTTTGTAGTGGATCACAAGATGCTACAGATGAAACGAGAAGTCAAAAAAGTAAACACGTTATCAGTGTCATAACATGCCCACGATAGTTTGATAGGCCTAAGTAAAAAAGACGATAGAAGAAGAGCTCAGCTGCTCTTTCTGTCTGGATGAGAGTAACTGCTGATTAGCGTCTAGTAACCAACAGCAGTAAGTCTGAATCACAAACAGAAAGCTTCTGGGATTAACACAAGCGGCACCAAGTAAATCCTATGATTAATTTATTTTTTTGTTTCGGTTTGGTTTGTTTTTTCTTTTGTATTTTGTTGTTCTTGTTTTTTTAATTCTGCACTTTGAATTTGTGGTGTGTGTAGATCATAACTCATGGCTAAATAATCGGCAAAAATTCTGAAATTATCACGTCATTCAAAAGCTGACTTGAATTCTTGTATTTGTATTTGTATTTTATTTTTACTCCATCCTATAGATAATACATTAGTTGTACAATATTAATTAGTACAAGGTTGTTTAAACTGCGTGCTACATAAGAAAAAAAAATTAGAATGGAGAAGGGCACATTATAGTGAAACTAATTATGGTCCTTTAACAAGATTGACTTTATTCTATTATAGCTTTGTTATTCATTAAAACACAAACACGCACGCACGCACGCACACACACACGCAAACAAGTCAATTATTTTTTTAAGTGCCTTTTTGAACAGGATTTTCGATGATTTATTGCGAATAGAAAGGAAAAATCATAGTCAAATAAAAGACACCAACAGGAGCTCTTAAACCAAAAACTAAATTATTTAAAGACACAAAAAAAGCAACAAATAACACTCAACTAGCCAGCTTCAAAAGACGCGGCCATCATCATCGCTGACGGCTGACCAGATGAATTGAATTCGCGCCCTTTAGCACACGAATTTCACAATTTCTTAATCCACGCCACTGTTTTGAAGTTCGCCATCTTTACCTACCTGGAGCAGAACATCCATAGAGCTCCAATCTAAGACAAGGAACCACAGGAACCATCAAAAACCTAAACGGGTCTTTTGGGTATATCCTGATTGATCGTGTCCTAATTGGTGGCTTGAAGACATTCTTTTTCAAGGATCTGCTGTTTCGATTACCTTTAAGTAGCTGTAAACAGAAAAAAAGGCCTATGTTTATATTCCTAGCTCAGTAATAGCTATGTTAGCAAAGAAAATTATGGAGCTTTGTTTTTAATAGCGATAAAACTTGTAATAATGAATGTATTTGTAATGCGTCATCAAATATTTACAAGTGACCCCGTGGTCGCGATATTTTCTCAGTTTTGGGTTTGTGTGTTTAAACTCAGCAGTAGTTTAGGCTCCACGGGAACAGAATACAAGATATATGTAAAGAATGTTGTTACGTTCCGAAAAGAGCCAACGAGATGTCAGAAATCTAAACCGCAAGCATCAACACCGTGATGGTGATCATCACATCGTTTCGCCATTTGCTTGCGTTTTGTTCCCTTCAATGTGAACGGTAATGACAAAGTAGTCATTATGAAAAAAAAAAGTGGTTTTGTTTGTTACGTCGACAGTAACTTTATAATGCTGGTAAAAACATCACTGGTAGCTTTCAGAAGAAGTTACCTTTCCGTACGATGTCCATTTTTCGTCTCTCGTGTATGTAACTTCAAAATTTCTGGCCCAACTAGAATCGCGCGAACTTCCCTGGGTTGTTATCGCTGTTATAAGGTTTTCGTCGTCCCAAGTTATTTGTATATACGGTGATTTATCTCCCGGAGCTGAGCACCAGGCTCTCGGTCCATCCAGCCGAGCAAATGCAGGTGCGTGATTGGCGCTTAGCTCAGACGATGACGTAATACCATTATCTGGGATTCTTTTGTCTTGCATTCCAAATTCGCTGCTACATTCTGATGCTTAGAAACAATATGTACGTTAGTATAATATCACACAAATAGACCTTATATTTGAGAGTCACCCCATGGACCTAATCGTATAGAGTAATGGTGGCTCCGAGTAGCATGATAAAAGCTAAAGTCAGATGCAAAAGCTAAAATAAAACGAGCTTGCAGAGTAGGCTGAACGTGACGTTAAGATTTGTATCTGGATTAGCAAGGCCAAGACGCTTCTCAATTACATGTCTACAAAACAACAGATACATTATTATTTGGATCCAAGTAATAACCACTGAATTTTTACTTGTAAGCTGTCTTTAAACTCGCGTATGCGTAGGTATATACGACGGAAACGCTGATAACCAAGACGTGGGTGCTTTGTAATGCTGCTAAATTATCCCTAACCGTCTCCTATTTTTCCTTGCGTTCACTTTCAGCTTTTTAAGAGCCAATGTCTGTAATTTTCGAGAATCGGTTGACAGTCGTGAATTTTTGAACTTCTTCATATTTTGCCCACATAATCTCCGTAGTACACTTATTTCAAAAATCACATTCAAACTTGTAACGGCTTTTTATTTTTTCCTGAATCGGGCAAAGTTTGAAAAACGCCAAATCGGCGCTCTCTCCAGTATTAAATTAGCGAAAATTAACCATTTTCTTCGCGCTCGTACATAAAAACGGGATGATATCTCTAAATGAAATCAAGTCACAAGGAAAACACAGACTTGTACTTTATAATTCTGCAATTATCTTTAGACAAGCTGTTTAAATGTGACTGTGTTGGCCGCAAGAAGAAACACGATTTCGGCTCTTTTCAAAAATGGCAAATCTGACCTAACTTTACCATCGAAAAAAACCACTGATACATGGAACTTCAACATGAAACAAACACTATTTTAAAGCATATCCTTTGCCGTTTCTTGAGTTAAAAAATTTTTGGCGGCATTACAAAAGTTCGTCGCTGAGACACCGAAACGTGTAGCGTAGTTTCGCACGTTGGAACGCTGAAAACAAGCTAGCCGCGAGTGTAGGCACACAAAAGTATTTGCTAATTTAGCTTGTTTTACAAGGGGCACATTACGGGAAGCTCTAAAAATCTTTTGAAAAACGATTTTCAATTTGATAGTCATAAAAAAGAACTAAGTAGATTAACACTGCATTTGATTGCACGCAAGTAGCTGAAAAAGACAACGCTGTTAAGTTCTCATGGACTGTAAATATTGACCTCGAGTTTCTGCACCTAAAATAAAGCCGCTAGAAACGGCGTGCTAGCTCTAAATGGGATTCGACATCTCTAAGAAGTACTTAAAAACAGTCGTTTCAACCGCAAGTGGCCGCAGTTTGCTGAAATCTTCCCTCGTTTAGCCTCGGACTAAACGCTGTGATGCGTGATGAAAGCCCGTGTGTAATTTGAGTCTGGTCACGCAACTGTACAGACAAGGATAAATCATCGCACGAGTGTACAATTAACACTGTTTTTTTTTTAGTTTTATATTTCATATTCCCAAAACATGTCGAACTAAACTTGATTTTAGGATGTCACCAGCCGAAACTCAAATAGAGAAAGAAAACAAATAGAGTAAGCCTAGTCTGCAAAACTTTTCACACTAGTTTTCTTTTATTTGCACTAAGCCTTCTGTGTCTTTGCTTGTAATAAACTAATCTTTACCCCGCTTAGCGTATAGACTTCTTTAATGAATTGAGTGATTTAGGTACACACGTATGCCATATGCAAGAAGGTAGAGCAGGGAAATGGAAACGAGTAAAACTGTTTAAAGAAAATTGGCCAATGCTCCTCAAGAGAACATTCCTGAAAAACCACAAATCGAAAATGGACAATGGACACATTTGATGAGCGAAATACAAGTATTTAACATGTTTAAATTACTGAAAGTAGTATTGCTTTGCTCCTCTTCAGCAAGGGCAACTTCTGGCGAGACCACAACCTGCTGCTGACGAATTGTACTGATCGCTCGGCCCCCGAAGAGAGGCCCTTAAAGGCCGGTCTACACAGTATGGGGTAGACCAGAATGCACGTACTGTTAGCTCCCGCCTGAAAAAAAAAGTAGTCACCTGGTTCAGGCTAGAAAATAAACCAATTCACTGGCAAGTTCTTTTCTTTAACGTCAAAGTCCGTCGCGTAAATGAAAAAATGCTTTAAAGTGCCTCAGCCATTTTACTTACTATCTTTCAACCAAATACGTTGCGGAGAAAAGAGATAAAAGGCTGAAAACAGCCTTTCATTTCGATTTAAAATTTCAGATGGAGAATGTCCTTTTCCTGGGTCTGCACCTGCAGTGACTTGTGTGCTAAAACTACTTCGTGGTGGTATCTCTCAGGCAAAAACAACCGCCTAGCGGCGAGGAGCGAGGCGAGAAGTCCGTGGCCATTTTCGAAAAGAAAAAGAAGTGTAAAGGCAGCACCTCCGTCGCTCAGAAAACGTCTGCGTATATAATTTTCTTCAGGCCGCACAGAGTTATCAATTAATGTGCCTTTACAGACCCCTTTTTAAATGAGCAGCCAGCATGGCCAGTAGGCTGTTCTGAAACGGTACAACGTGATTTGTTCTCCGCCACCTGGAACCAAACATTTAGCGGTGGTGAGGAAAAACTTTTATTTTTATGCGCCAATTTTGTGGATCAAACAAAGTCTGCTAGCTCTAAATATAGTGATAAAGACATTAATTGTTGTATGTGTAGGGTTGATCCTAATGGAAAACCCAATGCCAACCAACCCACACATCTCCTCCTCCTTCCCTAAAGTAGACTTTTCATGACGTTAGCATAATCACCTGAGACCTCTTGTAAAGTTCACTAAAATAATAGCAAGCACCTTCGTAGCCTGTTCACAGACCCTCTACTTTTTCATTAGAGATCGTCGATCTATTTTCTCTTTGGAGATCGTCGATTTTGCGTATGAAAATAAAAGCCGCGGGGGATTTATTGACCAGTAGAGCAAGGGGCTCTCTCGCGCGCTCGTCTATTTTCCAAACGAAAGAGGAGTGTAAAAGCCGCACATTCGTCGCTCAGAAAACGTCTGCGTATATCATTTTCAGTTCAGGCCATACAGAGTCATCAATCAATGTGCCTTTATGGACCCCTCTATGAGCAGCCAGTAGGTTGATCTAGAACGGTACCAAGTGATTTGTTGCACCGCTACCCGGAACCAAACATTTAGAGGTGGTGAGGAAAAACTCATATTTTCATGCGCCAATTTTGTGGATCAAACAAAGATCACCTAACGTAAATGCAGAAAACCTTACTTTTATCATTAGCATGGTCGGGTCGGTGTTTGGTTATTGCCCTACATACTCACGTGACTAACAAGTCAGGAGCATACCAAGTGACTCACGACATCTTTTCTATGATCGCAATACATTCAGCATTACTGGGGCCACAGGCGCCACAAACCAAGTTTGAATATGTGCGCGATTCTATACGAACATACAACAAAGACTTGCCCCGTAAAACACTTATACCAGGAATTTCTTTTCCGGCGCGTTACGCGTCACGCACTTCCGGAATGTCATCTTCCCTCGTGTTGACAGATTGAAAACATATACAAACTTAACTTCGATTCTGCCGTGATGCAGAATTTAGTTAGCGGTACTGTGACCACGTCTAGCATTTAAATTCAGGTAAGTAAATAACTTTTCTGATATTAAGGTTTCAATACGATTAAAACTATAGCAAGCGAGTATTTCGACAATATTCCCCTCTGCTAACTGTGGTTTGAACTGCGTATTCGTCTCTTCATTATGGTTTATCGCAAAAATCAGTTGAAAGGAATCATGTTAAACCGAACAGAAACGCCGAAATATAATCTGAAACTGTTACAACTCTGACTAGGATTTAAATGTCGAAGTAACTCAGGTTTGCGAAGGATTAATATTCCAAGCGTTGAAACTTGCTTGTTGCACGCGCTTTCCTGGTGTCAAAATACCCTTCAGGTTTTGGTCTCTCGACGGTGCGCATTTGGAATGCCGCCAGAAACATTTTAACACAAACAACAGCAAAGGATATGCTTTAATACAGTTCTTGTTTCATAGTGAAATTCCATGTACCAACAGGGTTTTTACGATGGTGAAGTTAGGTCAAATTTGCCATTTTTGAAAAGTGCTGAAACCGTGTTTCTTCTTGGGGCCGGTACAGTCACATTTAAACGGTTTATTTAAAGTTAACTGCTGAATTATAAAGTAAAAATATGTGTCTGTTTTGTGACTTGATTTCATCTAGAGATATTATTCCGTTTTTATGTACGAGCGCGAAGAAAATGCTCCATTTTCGCTAATTTCATACTCGAAAGAGCGCCGATTTAGAGTTTTTCAAACTTTGCCTGATTCCTGAAAAAATAAAAAGCTGATACAAGTTTTAACGTGATTTTTGAAATTAGTGTACTATAGAGATTATTTGAGCAAAATATGAAGAAATTCAAAAATTCACGACTGTCAACCGATTCTCGAAAATTACAGACATTGGCTCTTAAATGAACGATACGATGCGATAAAATATGGCTGTAAACAAACATAGCTCAAACATGAAATGAGAAATTCGGGTGTATTACAAATTATCGACTCAAAAAATCGTGTTTTTCTTTGGTTTTAAGAGTAAACAAACGTTTCAGACCACGTTTCAACGCAATACCGCACGTACAATGACGGCTTTAATTAAAACTGAGTTCTTTAGCCTGAATGCTTAATCCCATTATTGGTGCTTCATCACTGTATTCTATTTTTTCACATCAAGGTTATACTTCCTTTAGTTAATGTCTTGCACGCAAGATCTCACACGTAATACACCTTAAAGTTTATTTGTAAAGTGTATTTACCTACAATCTCATTATCTCTTACGTTCATAAAAGTTATATTACACCGTTGTTTAGTTGGTTTGAGGTGACTTTTTTTTCCTCCCGTTGTGCAGTGCAAATTGTATGCCGACACACACTAAGGTTAGCACACTCTCAAAGAATAGCCATTTGGATCCTAAAAGTACCTTGATATTGATACTTACTTGCACTTGCAGAACGTTGACCTATGCAAATCAGTGTAACGGCAAATAACCACATTAAAATCTGATGAAAATAAAACGATTAAAAAAAATTATTCGGACTTTCACTTAAATGAGTATTACATAGTATTACTTAGATGGCTAGCAATTTTTTTCTCTTTCAAGTGACACTTTTGACACGTTTCATGTTAAGATAGAAGCGGAATGTCAGTTGGTTTATTTTCTCATGCGGTCATTAAATAAAAAAACCTGAGCAGTGCTGTCTCAAAGAACGGAAGACAAATGTGCTGACACTCCCAACGACAAGAGACTTAGCCGAATGGATTCAAACGAAGAGGAATGTTTCACAGACTTCCTATTATCAGTGCACTTAATATACAGATGATACAGCTGTTTATTTGAAACCTCTTCACTGTAAAGTTCAACTCTTCGACGCTTGTCTGTGGCGTAAACACCTCCGACGTGCACAGCAGTGTTTACTCTAGCCGATGGTTTAGCATGAAGTAAACTTTTATAGGGACACCAGTTATTTTTTTACTTTGAGAACATACCTTATATCCAAGTGAAAACATGTCGAAGAGTGTGAAATGACAGAACCATCAGTTACTCAAAGATGGATTTTCATCCATTGGCATAGACTCCGTGCTATTCTCGAAGCAACTCTGCAACTGATTATCGTGCAATGGTTGTTAACCTTTTAAGACGCAAAAAGGTCACGTTTTCCCAAAATTAATGATGTCATGCGAAGAACTGAAGGAAGCGGAGAGTGTGTTGGGTGAAAATGTGCACCATAGTTTATTTATCGTCTAGAGTCATAAGGTTATTAAGCTGTTTAATCTGAGATATTTTAATTATGGCGGTATAAACTCAGAAAGGTCTGTTTGAATAGGGAGTCGTCCGGAAGAATAAGGAGTACTACTGAAAACTATCAATCACAATTAATATCAATTGCCAAAATAAATATTGTTGTTTTTTTTAGTAACACCCCTGGAAACTGACTCGTCCCCAGTCGTCTCAAGTTGTCTCTACTCATTAATTATTTACTAGGGAAACGCTTGGGTTATGCGCGCGGGGAAGATGGGATCCCCTTCGTTAAAGAGCCCGTTCTAGTCTTCCACGCCAAAACTGATAAGTTACAGGTTTCGGCCAATTACTACCTCGAAGTCGTTTTTTCAAGTAATGGGAAACTAAACAGTACAGTATTAGTAATGGAAATTTAACTGACTGAAATCTTTCCTTAAAAACCGTGACATTAATTATACTTTTCTCTTGGTAGGGATAGATGCTTCCGTTCCATTTTGTGCAGTAAATGTTTGCCTAGTGCTAGATATAATTTTAGTTTGATTACTTCAGGTCGTCTTTCATTTTTTACTGAAAGTACATTTATAATAATGTAATCTGAATGGAAAAAATACCTTTAGCCCGTATCGAACTTGATTGGTGCGCTAATTTTGTCTTAATTTGTAAATGTTATGTCAGGTATAAAATTGCGTGTTTTTATATTTAACTTGTAGGTATTGGCATCATGTCAACGAGGAAAGGTTACCAGAATTGTCACGGTTTTGAGTGGTCCAAAATAGAGTCGCAACACCAAGAGAGAATGAGCTACCTTATCCTCTCTTGGTCCCAACTACAGTGAAACCTCTATCAAGCTGAAACCTAACCTGAGATCAGGCTCTATTTTCGTTTCGCTTTGAAAATTACATTCCGTCGGGCAAGGCGAAACGAAAAGAGAGCCTGATACAAACCTTCTACGAAACGTCTGCCGCCCACTTTTTTGATTGATCTACATTTGCCGAATCAGCCAACCAGAATTACTTCCGTTGCTTGTTTTTCTAGTATGCACATTTTTCACGCGTAAGAAAAATGCAGACTGGCTGACTTAAAAAATAGCTTTTATCTGTTAATTTTTTCAGCACAATCACATTTAACTTCTTGCGAGATTAAGGGAGATCTCTAGGGTTATTTCTGTTGGCCTAGAAGGTAAAAAGTTTTCGAAAAGACGGCGACACGATGTTTTACTAGTTTTATTATTTTGGCTAGGTGCGCTCGAATTTAAAATACTGAAATTTCTATTTTTCTATTGCCTTAATATTTTCCTCGGCAAGTTTCCCCGATTTTCAGTACATAAATCTTTAAAAACTAAAGTAAACAGCCAACGAGCGAGGACACCAGTTTTCCTGGTTTATTTTTTACAAAAAGAGAAGGCAAACAACCAGTCTGTTAACAAAAATTCCTTGAACAGCGATGCGATATTTTTCGTCTAATACTTCACAGTTGGCGATTGAGGTTTCTTTGGCAGTGAGCCGGTCGCTTGCGTACCCCGTTCAGAGAAGTCATTCCCGACTAAACTTTCAAATGAAACCAGTTTTAAGATGGAAAGTGTTTTGATTTGCACTCGTTTGTTGGTAAATCAAAAGGCACCATGGTAGCGGTCAACAACTTGCAGAGGGATTCAACTCCGCGATACACTCACAATAGTTCCGTAAATAAAGCATATCCTGAGAAGAAATGAACAACCATATGAATTTTCTGAATTTCCATGGCACATATTCAGGCGTATTTTCCTACCATGAGACCATAAAACAATAAAAAAGACATCAAAATCGATCCTTCTCTCCGACGACGACGGATCATGCACGAAAACAACCACGCGAGGAATAAGCGTCTTCAACTTCCGGCGTTTCCGACAGCCAATAAGATCTTGTGGCATTGTTCTAACACCCAATCAGCGTTACAGCCAAAATCTGGCCATAACGAGCACAAACGTGAATGAGTTTGGATCAGGCCCAATTTTAGCGGTAGCCATTAGAGAGAATGTATGATAGCGGACCCCCAATTAAGCGGACACCCTCTATTAAGCGGACTGTAAGGGCGCTTTCCATTCAACAAAAATTCCGGTTTGAAATTTCGGAAACTTTACGTGCTCAATGGAACGGCACATTCCGGTTGCACAGACCCGACCCAAGCCACGGCGCGTTTTGTTATTGTGGCCTCGTAGCAGACTCAAAATTACACTCTAAAAGAGTGAAATATCCTAAAGAACACTCGACTATCGAAAAAGGGCGGTGGAAAACTAAAGGCGGAGGAATCTTATTTCGCGTAGAAAGCCTATGAAAGTAAGTGAAAGTAAAAAAATTCTCGTGAATTGAAACGATACGTTCCTCAGAATATTCGAACGATTCGAAGCAATTCCTGGAACTGTACGGTGAATAAACTCGGTGTTTTGGTCAAATTTGTATTCAGCCAGGCTTTGTTGTCTTCATTTCAGCTTAATTGATAAATTGCTTTAATTAAATATCGTGGACAGGTTTCAGACAAATGATACGCTGATTCTCACGGACTTTATACACACACTTTTTCACGTACGTGTCGTGTTATGTCAGTTTTTGACACTGTTAATGGAAATATCAAAAATCGAAAAAAATTGCAACTGATTCAAACTATTTGAGATGTCATCAGGGGCGAGAATATAGTTTTACTCACTTTAGTATTTAAAGTACTTATTTTGACTCAAAAATTTTTTTCCACTGGAAACCACTTGTTCTTGTTCAGCCAGAAAAAGCAGGATACAAAAGAGCGGTACTGGGGACAACAATTTTGGCAAATGGAAAGGCGAACATTTCGGTCGTCTGGTCACTGTGGACCACCTTCAAAGCTGGTCCCGAATATTCCGGTCGCACCAAACCGAAATGGTCCGTTCCTACACCATTTGATGAACCAACCGAAATTTCCGGAATTTTGGGTTGAATGGAAAGCGCTTTAAGCCTGGTCCCGAAACAAACGTCTGATATTTCCCTTTATATCGAGCCCCTATTCAGCGGACATCTCTATTAAGCGGACGCGGACACTAAAATAAGTTGTATTTGGCTAATTTCTATCGTTAAAAACCTCTATTAAGCTGACATCGGACTGAATTGACAATAGTAGTATTGGATTACGTCCGTGAAATGAATTTGAACTCTGGATAACTTCTTTAACAACATGCAACTTTATCACAGTACAGAGTAACCGTTGAATGTTGATCGTTAACAAACATTTCGCAATTATTACAAACCTCTATAAAACGAACACCCTCATGAGCAGACATTTGGCAGGGGCACCCAACGACTGTTTTCTGTAAAATATCCGTTCGGAGAAGCAAATGTTGCCTAGAATTTTCTTTTGCTTGAGGACCGCTAAAAATTTCTAGATGGACGTTCCATTCATGTACAATTTTCGAAGCTTTTCAAATAAATTTCCTACGATTTTCTGAAGTTTTATTTTTTTATATTTTACCACCCAGGTTACACTATTTTTCTTTGAAAGAAGAAACCTAAAATTTTCGGATTCTAAACTGTGATGGAGAGAGGAATCAGAAAAATTCTCACTTTCGTAAAACTTTTTATTGCACCTAAACTTTTCGAAAAAATATTGCTGAAGCCCTTGTAATTTCGAAAAGACTAGCCTGTGAACAGGCCTTTTTCCTCCCTTGGTAATAGCTTTTGAACAAGCTTAACAGTCTTTGGAGTGTTTTGTAGCCTGTGAACAGGCCTTTGTTCACAGGCTACGAAAAGACTTAATTAAGTTCCCCTGTACCCTGCGAGCAGTGGTTTCTCCAGGCCGAATGCTACGCTACGCTAAACCACTGCTCGCAGGGTAGTTCCCCTGGGATGACCTAACAGATAAAAATTTAGTAGGGCCGCCTAGAATGCATTTCTAGAGATCTAAAAGTACTCTATATTGCCTGAAAAGTGTTTTCATCGTATTTTGGAGGAAACCTTCGTTGGGTGCTCCTGACTTAGGAAGGTCCCGTTAATAGAGGTTTCACTGTATTCACAAGAAACGAAACTAAACATGAGAAGTTCGACATAGGGTGTCAAATCGAAAAACTTGTATTTGGGTTTGAGGAAGAAGTAATAATTCCAGGTAAGTACTGCAGAGCAGGAGCTCCTGTGAAGAGTTGTTATGCGCTCGCGGTACATTCCGGGTCAGGAGAAGCCAGGAGGGACTTGGAACCAACAAAGATTGTCGCGCGTAGCTACCATAACAAACTTCAATATGGCGTCCGAAGGTTAATTTATTTGTCGTTTGGACCTGGAAAGTTTAGCTATTTTTCGGCAGATTGAGTCACCGTTGTTGTGACTAATGCACGAGTAAATATGTCTAAGTCTCGAAGAGGAAAATTTACGGTTCTTCAATTCCTTGTTCAACTTTCGAACTTTTTTACTGTGTTTGGATTTGCTGACTAAATGTCAGGTTTTGTTTTGGCTTTATATTAGGAAGCATGGAGATCTTGCGTGTATTTCATCGTTCCGAACAGAGTGGAAGATAATGTGTTTATCGACACTCTGTCAGAAGTTGTTGCGACTGGCCTTAGAAAGTTGTACAGCATTATATGTGTATATAAAACTAAGTACAGTAAAAATAAAGGTATAAAAAATATGATAAAAGAGTAAAAATCTATGTATGTATATTATCAAGACAGGATCTAATAATAAAACTATTCCTAAAACGATCTATCTTTCATT